TATCTTTGAACTTGTAATTCTCCTGTCTCAGGGTCCTGTTCTCTGGGATTACAAGTGTGTACTACTATGCCCAGATAAACTAAAAGAATCTTAAGAGAATATGTAAATTGTGAATAATCAGAAATTATCTGAGTTTGATGGAATTCAGCATAAAATAGATTTTATTAAAATTTTTTTAGTCACATGGAATTTATAACTTCAATGTGCTATCGTGTGCTTTAACTTAAATTATAAATACTGTCTTCCACATATATATTCTCTTCCACTGTCATCATAATCAAACACTTACTTTCAAGGGACATCTTTGGATTTTCAAGCTTTTTTCTTAAAACAGAATCAATGAGAATTCTTAGCTGCTTGAAAATTACAGCTATCTTTACAGGAGCCTGTTGAGAGAAGATGATACATTGGACAAAATTGATCCAGGTGAATTTGAGTGTCTTTAAATAAATTAAGGTAAGACTATGTATCTTTCATCTTACCTGCCTTAGCAAAGCTTGATTTTTAACATAAAACACAATGGGAAAACATTAGCAAATTACTTCTAGTAGTTAAGCTATGCAAACATATTGATATTCTTACTAAATTTGATATCTGTTCCCCAAATAAAGCAACTATTATTCCAATAACTTTTCTCATATAACTCGTGGGAGTTAAGACTAAAGTTTGGGGATGGAAATTTTTTAAAAGCTTTATTGAAGTATAACTTAACAAACCATAAAAACACACTCATTGTTAAGTATCTAATTTCAATTAAATTTTTAGCAAATTTATAGAATTGTGCAACCATCACCACAATCCAACAATAGAAATTTCTACCACTTAAACTTTTTTACAAAGTACCAGATAATTTTTTTTTTTTTTTGTACTGGGGATTGTACCTTGTAGTGCTCAACCACTGAGGCACATCCCCAACCCTTTTAAAAATATTTAGAGACAGGGTCTCTCTAAATTGCTTAGGGGCCTCACTGTTACTGAGGCTGGCTTTTTTTTTTTTTTTTTAAGATGTAGATGGACACAATACCTTTATTATATTTATTTATTTTTATGTGTGCTGAGGATCAAACCCAGTGCCTCACATGTGCTAGGCGAGCACTCTACCATTGAGCCACAACCCCAGCCCCTGAGGCTGGCTTTGAACGTTCAATCCTCCTGCAACAGCCTTCTGATAATGCTGAGATTATAGCTTGTGCCATTGTGCCTGGCCAGATACATTTTTTAAGTTACATGTAAAATTCACCTCTACAGTCCTGGGCATACAGCTATCATGGTGAAGCCTAATAAAATTTTTTAGATTTGCTTAGTTTAAGCTGGTTGTTGTTGATGGTGCTACAAAGAAACAGATGTACTTATCGCCAGACAGACTTATTGGTCTTTGTGTGGCCAAACACAGTGGAATGAATGATCTTGAATTTGGGGATCAATATTGCTCTACCAATAACTAATCCATGTAATCTAGAAAAGTATTTCTATATAGCAGCATCTCCATAGAAAGGAAATTATAAAAAATATCTAATAAGATTATTAAAATATCATATTTGAGATAATCCATATGAAATTAACTATTGATATATCTAACACATGACAAGTTAATAATTGTTACTGATAACAAATATATATATACTTTTATAATAGCAATATAATTTGATTTCTAAATTTAATAGATTTAAAACCATACAGGCAGGATAAAATAAAGAAGTCATTTATTTTAAATTGTAAGAAGAAAGTAAGCAAATCTCAAAAAAACTTAAAAATCTACTTCAATAGTATTAGAAGTTGAAAATTTTTATATAATGAATAAAATCAGCTGTGCTCTGTACCTGAAAATAGATCCAGCCATCAACAGAAAGAAGACGTTCTCTGTGTTGAACTTCTATATCACCACCAAAGAGTAAAACTGGAAAAGGAGTTATTAGGGTTGTTTCCCTCAAATACACTCTGGCATACCTTATCTACATTAGGAAAAAAAGGGGAGAGAAACAACTTCACAGTCTAAAAACAAAAAATTCATTTACCTGTTTCATATAAGCATTTTTCAATAATGTGACTCTATTTTAAATCATTCTCTTATGTGAATTTTTAAATTCTGCAATAATTACTATTATCACCTATGTATTAAAAGGCATTTTAAATATTATCTGTAAGGTTGAATTATATGCCTTGACCATAAATGAAACTATGTATAAGTAATTATTTAATGATATTAAATAATTAATGTCATAATAATGTTATGATTACATTTCAAAGTTTCTGGTTTCTAGATAAATGTTCAGTCAGTCAATAATTTCTCATGTTTTACATTTAAGTTTGATAATATATTGAGTGTTTTCAAGCCAGTGCTAGAAATTATAGATTCTTGTTACTTGGTCTTTTTTCCCTTTTGAAACTTTATTAACTGATACCTTAATTAACTATCTGTTATAACTGTCTTTATTCCAAGTAAAAAATTCAGAGAAAATTCTACTATTTTTTTGAGAAGCTATGTATGTACATCTAGATTTCAAATACAAAATAGAATAGCTCAATTTGAGAACTAAGTTAGATATTTGTTGGGACATAACTTGTTATAAATGACTTCTAGAAAAATGTTCTGAAAATTAGAATTTAAGAACAAGTACTTTACCTTCTCCTGGTATAAGAGCCATCCATGAGTTTGTAAATCACGATTTACTGAGGATGGATGTACTTGTGCTTTGCCTTGGGCTGTTTCCACTATGCAAGCCAATTTTTCTGTAACATCCACTGACTTTGTATAGATTATCTTCCCCACATTGTCATACAGTCCAGCAGCCAATACAGCTTTAAGAAGGGCAATTTCTTGGAAAGAGAGGGTCTGTGAGGCTCTGTTTTCCTCCCAGCTGGTAGAAGTTGAGGCAGATGAAAATCCTGCAGCCTTAACCAACTTTATTAATTCCTGCTTTACATCCTAGATTGATTTATGATTTTTAAAAAAGACATAATCAAAATTGATTAAAATAGAGAAATTTCCAAATAACTTTGTAATTTGTATTACTGTTTTCCATAAAAAACAGACAAGATGCCAAATTATTATTTAGTTGACTATCACCCAAATTAAGTTAGGGTAGAGAAAAGAGATACTGGAAAGTAAAGAATTAGAGCCAGATCTTTCACCATGGAAAGATTTTAGATGTTATAAAATATAAGCATTTCCATGAGAGCTGTTTCAGTAGTAGCTATCCTTTTTTTACTCAATGAGGATGGTCACAGAATAATAATGAAAAAGAATTAAAGAACTGTGATTACGTTCTCTACCTTTTGTCTCTGGAAATCTCACCTTAATTTCCTAAAGAATTGGACTTCTTTTAATCTAAAATTGTGACCTAAAACATTTTTCTACCTTTAACAGTGCCAATCAGCAAAGATTACTACAGGAAGGATGAACATTTTTCAAAGTACACAGGATATAAGTAATTAAAAGGTGACATTTACACTTAGGATATTCTTTAGGCTTTTGGTCTGGGGTAAAATAAACACTGATTCCAGGGGAGGAAAGACCAAACAGCTGCTCTAACACCAGAGTTGGCAAAGAGATCTAAAACCTTACAGGTCAGAGTAGGTGAAGAAAAGGATCAGACAAAGAAGGCAGTGAGAGACAATCTGGAGGTTGGGGGAAGGTAAGGTTTAAGTTAAAGGAGAAAGGGCTAAATTGAAGAAATTGCCACCTTTGGGCTAAGTAACCAGTATTTCCACATACTGAATCTCAGTCAGTTGGCCCAGAGTGGCTATTTTCAGAATGTAAGAAACTCTATAGGATGATTTACCTGGTTTGTTAAAAAACGAAACAAAACAAAAAGGAAAAAACAGGAAGGGGAAACTATAGATTAAGAGACTTTAGGGATATATCAACCAAATTTAATGGGTATTCCTTGTTTGGATCATGATTTGAATTAAAAAAATTTATGAGATCATTAGGGATATTTAAGCACTGTATAAATATTAAGAAATTTTTTAAAAGGTGTGAAAATATTAAGGAAAACAAAAATCCCATATTTCAGATATACATAATGATCTGATGCCTTGGATGTACTTGAAAATAATCTAGAGGGCAATCAGTAGGAGAATATAAATTAAAACAAGATTGATCACATGTTGATAATTATGGAAGCAGGAAATGCTTACCCGGAAGTTCATTATAATAGTCTGTCTACATTTTAGTATATTGAAGAAAACAATTTTCCAGATTCAGAACTGTAAATTATGCCCCTTTGACATTCTTTTTTTAAGTGGAACCGAGACTGATAGAGGTTAACTATCCTAATTTCCATACTAGTGTTATTTCTAAGGAAATATTCTGCCTCTTTAAAACAAAAAATCATTTCCCAAATATATATAATTGTTAAGTACTATTTTAAATCACTTTGTCATACATATTGGTTACTTGTTGAAGTAACAATGGAACAAAAATTATAAAGTTTATTAATTCAGTAAGTATTTATTAAATTCTTACTGTGTGTCAAGCACTATCCTATACATTCTTCTTCTTCCCCCCTCCACCTAAAAATAAGCCTATCATAGTTTTCCATTTGACTTTAGAGAAGTGTGTTAATTACCTCTAGGGTTAACAGTGATGTTCTATTAAGAAAGTTCCTTCGGCAATACATGATTTCAGATCGATAGCCTCCTTCTTGCCGTGCTTTCTTCCATCTAGATAAATGAAATGTTGATAAATGAATAAAGTTTATATTTTCTTTCTAAGCTTTCTTTTTCAGAGGTTGTAACCAAAGTAAGGTTTAATTAAATTATAATCATTTAAAGAGAAAGGTTCTTGCTTTTTGTAGCAGCCACATTTATATAAGAATTTCAACTACAACATAAACTTTTTGTTTACATATAGTAATAAATTACTAAATGACTCCAAACATGATATATGAATATATGTAATCTCAAGAAAATTGTTTTTAAATTTTTTTTTTAAGAGAGAGAGAGAGAGAGAGAGAGAATTTTAATATTTATTTTTTAGTTTTCAGTGGACACAACATCTTTATTTGTATGTGTTGCTGGGGATTGAACCTGGGCCGCACGCATGCCAGGTAAGCGTGCTACCGCTTGAGTCACATCCCCAGCCCTTGTTTTTAAATTTTAAAGAGCATAAAACTATGAAATTCTAACATACTGTGACAAATGAAAAAAAGTTGAAATGTCAATAATTTTAATGACAAAGATTTCATTTCTTAAAAAGTAAATAACCTCAGGTCATTAGCATATTGATACCATGTAGATTCTTTCTTTTTTTTTTTTTTAAGAGAGAGAGAGAGAGAGAGAGAATTTTTTAATATTTATTTATTTATTTTTAGTTTTCGGCGGACACAACATCTTTGTATGTGATGCTGAGGATCGAACTCGGGCCGCATGCATGCCAGGCGAGCGTGCTACCGCTTGAGCCACACCCCTAGCCCACCATGTAGATTATTTCTTTACCCTAGATAAGCATTGTAGATTGTCAGATGGTCTGAATCTGCCATAGCCAAAGCTGATTTTGCAAGATCTGCTTCATCTTTTCGACCAATTGGTGTGGTAAAAGGAGACTTCTCTGTCATAACTGCTGCCAGTGTTGCCTATCCATAAATAACCAAATAATTTATCATTAGAAGTATACACTGAAACAGATTTATAAAAGAAAGCAAATCATAAAACAATCACACTGTAAGTTGTCCTTATTTTTAATAATACCATATTCCATCATAGCTAACTTATATTTTCATTTTAAGTAGTAACTCTGTTTCACTTTAAAAATGCATTACTTTATTTTTATCTTCTGTAGGAGGTAAGGAACCCAAATTAGAGAAAAAAACTGAAAATGTATATAAGTGATTTATAGTCTGTCATGTAGGTAGAGGCACTCTCAGAATCACAGCTCAGTTATCTTAACTCCTACTGCTAAATCATGGAATGCCATGCCCTTTAAGAAAATATGTTTTAACTTGTTGCAACTTTTCAAACTATCATGGTAGAGGTAATTTTTTGAATTTGGCACAATCCTGGTGAGTAACCCCTTCCTCTCTTCCTTCTTCCCTCCCTCCCCCTCTCTCTTCCTTCTTTTCTCCTTTTGTGGTGCCAGGGATCAAATCTTGGGTCTCATGCATGGTAGGCAAGTGCTCTACCATGAATGACATCCCAACCCCATACCTAGATCTAATTACTAAAGAAAAAGAGAGAAAATAATAGTTGTTTTTAAACAACCTTTATTTATACCCAGAAAAGGACACAGCTTGATAAAGACAGTGCAGAATATGTGCCCAAAGATTCAGACAGATGCATAGAATGAATGAATGAATGGAGAAAACAGAATCCTGATAACTACTGGCCCAGAAAGGAAACACAGATAAAAGAAAAAAAAATAAGTTTTGATTCTACTTTTCAAAATCTGTGGTGTTTAAAACTTCCTTTGAACTATCTACCATATATTCAACTAAATAAATATTTCAAGTGGGTTGTTTGATAGCAAAAGTTCAGACAAACTGAAGTCACATAAAAGTACCTGTAGTATACTTAAGTGAATGAATTAGATTTTCAAGTATATAAAATAAAAATTTAAAATTTAAAAATTATTTCCAAACTTGAAAATTTCCTAGCAAAATGACATTTAAAGTGAAGTAGCAGCAGTATCATTTCACTTACCACCGGATCGAGACAGCCAAATATGGCACCAAAAATAAGCATCTTGCCAATTTTGACATTGACAGGTAAAGCTGCAAGGTGTTGGCCCAATGGAGTCAGTTTAGGTTCATTTAGTTCACAAGCTCCAATTTTTCGGAGTAAATTCATTGCATTGCTGATTACTTGAAGCTGAGGAGGATCTAAAGCTTTGGATAGGAAATCCTCAGGAGAACCAAGATTACATTTCTGCAGATTGAAAGAGTGATAAAATTGGTATGTGAGCAGAAAGAATTGATACTACACAAACAGTGGAACTAAATTTTGAGTTCAGTAAAATTTTAAGCAAAGAGGGTAAATGTGTAAGGTTATCCCTATTATTTTTCTTATAGTGGGGCTGGGGGAGATGTATGTGTTTGGAGGCAAAGGTAGAAAAGAGGATGAGATCTTCTAGTCCACGTTTTTGGTTTCTTCACTACTGATTTTAGTCAAAACTCTAAGAAAAGGAGGATATTATCAGTCTAGAAGTCCTTGGTCTGTTAGTGCTTCTCAATTTCAGCATTACTAAAAGTGTGTGCTGGGTAGTACTTTGTTTTAGAGAGCTGTCCTGTGCATTATTCATATGTTCAGCAGCATCCCTCATCGCTACCCACTAGAGACCAGGAACATTTATCCCCTGCCAGTTATGAAACCCCAAAAATGTCTCTAGACAACTCCACATGTCCCCCTGATAAGAACTACTGATCTAGGTTGTATTTCAATACATATGCTGTATTTTAATAGAAAGTATGAGTATTTATGGCAAAATCAAAGCACAGTGGATTTATACTTATAAAAAGATGGAAAGGAGCACATATTAAAGAATAAGATACTTGAAAATCTATAAAGTAACATAAGGCCAGATAAGTTTATATATTTTTTTTTTTTGTAAAAAGGGTGAAGAACAAAAAAATTAATCTAAGTTCCTAATAACAAATACCATAATATGAAGACATAATTCCTCCAGAGGTACACGCAAGATTTCAGGAACAGAATAGTCCATAAAGCCTTCAAATCTGAAAAATAAGATAATATTTATCTGGAATGCCACCTAGTATTGATTTGGTCTTTTTGAATTTGAGTGTGGTGCCATACCTCTCTCTCGTGTATAATCGAAAGCAGAAGCCATCTCGGACCCGCCCAGCTCTCCCCTGGCGCTGCAGAGCACTAGCTTTACTCACAAAAGTTTCAACCAAAGAACTCATTTGACTGCTTTCATGGTACCTAAAGAAATGTTTTAGGAGAAAATAAGTAGATAACTCACATCAAAATTGGAAAAACCCAGCAATATTTAACTCTTAACATTAAGTTAAAAGTAGGTTGTTTTGATAATGAAGTTTTTAATACCAAATTAAAAGCTCTAGTACAAGGAAAAAATACAAGCTTGTGTCACTTACCCTTTCTCAAATTAATCTGATCAAGGATTTTTTTTTTTTTTTTAGTGGAATACCTATGTAACAAGAATTCTTTGAAATAGTTTCAGAAGTGCTAGTGTCAACATTAAAATTCATCATACCTTTCATAAGGTAAGTTAAACACTGAAAACATTTCCTCTAGAGGTACAATCAAGAACTTATTTTTTATTTGAGAGTATGATTTTTCAAATATTTCTACAGTGTCCTAATATTAGGAATAGTGTATGTAATTATAAAGTAGTAAAGGCAGTGTACCCAATTTATGCAATATAAATATTAAAATATTTATAAAGTAGTAATTGTTTTGTTGGTGATTTAGTTAAGATTATCTGTTATGTTTCAATTACTGTACAAGGCACTTTCAATTAGGATATCTTCATTTTTCTCACACATAAAAAAACTGATGATTAGAAAGTTTTTACTTCCTTCAAGATAACAAATCAGAGATTTAAATCCAGCTGACTCTAGATTTATGTCCTTTTGTTATTATCCCACAAATAATGTTTTTGTTAAACAATTTATTTTAGAAACAAATCTACAAAAAGTAATGTAAAATTTTTTTAGCACTTTCCTAAAAGTAGTAGCACAATGGCCTCACAACCCCATGAAATGAAATTCTTAACATTTAGCCTCAGACATTTTAAAGTTTCCTATAGCTTTTCTAAAGCTTTTTGCTTTGGGCAGAATTAAGACATTTGGGATTTTCCCTATATGATTCTGTAATTTCTCCTAACAATTCAAGAGCCCCAAACTCTTTCTAGGTTAAAAATGTCTTGATCTGGGAAATTCAAACTTACTTATTTTCTTTTGTTCTTCCAGTATCAATTACAAATACAACATCTGGAATAGTGATACCCGTCTCTGCAATATTTGTTGCTAAAACAATCTGAAAATAAACAAAACGCTAAAACATTTAAACAACTTTCAGCAACATATCATCATTTAAACTTCTTTAGATAGTTTGAACTGATGAATTTTTAGTATTGTTCGTTTTTGAGACAGCATCTCATTAGGTTGCCCAGGCTAGTCTCAAACTCATGGGCTGACGATCCTCCCACTTTAGCCTCCCAAGTAGCTAAAATTACAAGTGTGCACCATCATGCCCAGCAGAACTGATGAATTTTTAAAAGTGAATTTCAATTTCATTCACAAAAAATTTGTTATTATTTTGTAATTAATTTGCTCTAGTTTCATCAGCTCAGTTTATTAAAGTTGATTTTTATTATAAGAAAAGCAACATTCCCCTAATTCTAGTAAATCATCTTAAAAATGACAGAAGTAGAATGGGAAACTGGGTCAGTGAATGGAGACAGCTCAGTACAACCATTCAGATTTCTTAGAAGGAAAAAAAAAAAAAAGCAGATGATTGACAACTGCTTACTATCCTGCTTCTTTATATCTTTGCTTTATGAGTTTGTCCTGAATTACCTCACCTGTAAATCAGGAGGTAGAAACAGATAAATTCTGCAGTCTAAAATCTCTAGTTCTAAAATTATTAACAGTGATTACTGAATAGTGCAATCTTCTGCATTTTTATGTTGTTGTTGAATAATTGGAGATAAAACTTAGGAAATTCTGAGTCAAATCCAATAAGCATTGCTCTACTTCTGTGTATTTTGATATTGAATAATTGCTTCTAATTCATTTATTCTAGGAAATGAAACCCAGATTATGAAGAGCTGGATGGGACCTATGTGATCATTATATTTCAATAGTGTTTAATTTTTAATTTTTTTCCTTTGGGTTAAGAGATGGAACTCTTTTCTTCAAACAAAATCTTACAGGGAAGCCCAAATGTTGAAGATCAGAGCATAGCCTCAGGGTCCCTATAGTTCTCAAGGCACAGTTAGAAAATCATCAGTTTAATTCAACCTTTCTTAAAGAAAAGTGAGGTTGAGTAGTTGTCAAAGACTACACAAATGGTGGCAATTTAGCAACTAGAAACCAGGCCTCTTGCATTACAGTCAGGCTCTTTCCAACAGCTATCTTTCCCATAGTTCCTAGATTGTGCTCAGAGAAAGGGTTCAGAATCTGAGATATTCTTTGTCAAGAAGAATCCTGAGGAGAGGACAAAATGAAAATACTGAGACTATTTCCATAATATAATGATCTTTGTACTATAAAAATATTCAGGAAAAAAACAGCTTAGAAATAAAGAATTCTCCTGGGACTTAAACAGCTCCTGATATCCAATTTCCTTCAAAATGCCTTCCTGGGAAAAGTAGTGATTTGTTTTTTTCACAAGCAACATTTATGCCATATTCTCAACTACTATTCCCGTCAAAAGTCTTGTCCCTTTAATAGCATGTAATGTAAATATTCAAATGCTTGAGTTTTAATATTGGGTTCACTTCTGACTCAAGTAGAGCACTAGGAGTCTGTCATGAGTAAGTACTTAATAATTTCCTTTGATCATAAAAAGTCATAATGTTTTCATGAAATATGATCAGGTGGATCACTATAAATTTGATGTACTGAATTTTACCTTCCTGACTCCTGGAGGAGGAAGTGTGAATGCTGCTGCTTGATCTTGAGTTGAAAGAATAGAATGCAGAGCTATCACCTTATATCTGAAAGTTAAAATCATAGTTCTTAGCAAGAGTTTCCCTTTAGAAGACACTGCAAAGAATAACAAAGTTTATTTGCATATAGAAAGCAATTTTCAAAGGTTTATCATGAAAAATTTAAACACACAAAAGTTCACAGAATAGTTGAATAAAATCCCATGTAATATGAACAAGTTACAAATTGAATATCCCTTCTCTGAAATGCTTGGGGTAAGAATTGTTTCAGATTTTTAAACATTTAGAACTTTGAATTTTGTATTAAGGTGGCTCAAATTGTATATGAAATATAGGGTCTAAAGAATTTTTTAAAATGTCATAATGTTAATGTGAAAACCATGATATCAATAGTAAACTATATCAGAACAGATGAACAGTTGCTTAAATATGATAATTTATAATGTTGTTGAGTTATTTTGTGGGGTGGTGCTGGGGATTGAACTCAGGGGCCCTCAATCACTGAGTCACATCCCCAGCCCTATTTTGTATTTTATTTAGAGACAGGGTCTCATGTGTTGCTTAACACCTCACTGTTGCTGAGGCTGGCTTTGAACTTTCGATCCTCCTGCCTCAGCTTCCCGAACTGCTGGAATTATAGGCATGCACCACCATGCCTAGCTTCTTGTTGTTTTTATAAGATTAAGTGGATTGGGGGGAGAGTCACCATATTATGCTTAATCACAGAATTCTCTCTACTTAATCATACTAAGAAAATAGAACAAATGCAGCTATAGTATGTAAAAATTTTTACTATATGAAATGCTATAATAGAAATATTAAACACAAAGATTTAACTCATTGTTTACAATTTTCACTTAAGGTGAAAAGACTTTGAAAACTCTGATTAAGACTTTTTTGTTAATATGTATTTTTTTAGTTGAGGGTAGATACAAAATACCTTTACTTTATTTTTATGTGGTGCTAGGGATCGAACCCAGTGCCTCACGTGCTAGGTAAGTGCTCTACCACTAAGCCACAACCCCAGCCCAAGACTTTTAATGTTTCAAATGTTTTTCTATCTTAAAATTACAAGGAATATAGTGAAGATTTGTAGTTACCGTTCAGAATAAAATCTTCTATCATTTGACAGGAGATCATACAACTGTTGAATATGAGCAAGACCTGGTAAAAAGATCAATACTGCTCCTTCAATATTTCTGAATTGGGGACTTTTGTCTGAAATTTTTAAAAAAGATAAAATATTGAAGATTAAAAAAACAGCATCTAAAATACTAATAAAATAGCTAATAAAATAAAGAAATATTTTATCAAGACAGAGAGACACTAGAAATATACCTAAATATACAAGAAGTTCCAGAATGAGATCCAGGTTGATTTTATGAGGATTCATGTAGGAAATAGCATGCTGAGTGCGGTTGCTGTACTTTTGGTAAAAAGGATTTAAGTCGGCACTTGTTCCAGTATAAACTGGAATGTGTTCCTAAAAGAAACACACCACAGAGAGCTGAATGAAAACATTAAATATTTTTGTAAGAAAAACGAAGTTATTTATATCCATTCAAATCTTTTTTCATTGTCACCATTACTGTTGTTAAAATACAGCAAGAGTACAATTTTCAAGTGGAAAAAATTTAAATTTTTTCAAATCTCTCCTATAATTTATGTATTATTCTGTGGCATTTAAAAAGCAGTCAGGCCAAGAGAGGACATAATAATTTTAATATGGTAATTTATACCTATCTCATTCCTCCTACATTCTACTTTGGCTATAAATTCCAATAATCTTTTTTGAAATAACTAAACTTTTCTAAAGTTGTTTTTTTAGTTTGTAATTCCTATCTTTGGAATTTTAGAGAAAGATTTTAGCTTTTGCTTTCTGGGGTTATCTGTCTTTTAAAAGATAAAGTAACTTTAATTTTGTATTTCCATCAGTTTGGATATTTGCATGAAATACAAATGAAATGTCATAAATGTACTCAAAATGCTGGATGTAGTACCACTGGTTAAAATGTCAGATAATGTAGCTTTCCCGATGTTTCTAAAAACACACAATTGAGACTAACTCCCTAGGAAGAATGTGCTTGCCCCAAATAGTGTCCCTATATAAGGAAGACTGGCTCTTGCCAGGAGGGAGGGTACTAAGAAGACCAATGGCAAAGATCTAGACTTTGGGCCTGCACCATCTAATCACTTATGGTGAAAAGGCAAAGTATATAAAACCACTATGAGGGGCTGGGGATGTGGCTCAAGCGGTAGCGCGCTCGCCTAGCATGCGTGTGGCCCGGGTTCGATCCTCAGCAGCACCACATACCAACAAAGATGTTGTGTCCGCCAAGAACTAAGAAAAAATAAATAAATGTTAAAATTCTCTCTCTCTCTCTCTGTCCCCCTCTCTCTCTCACTCTCTCTTTAAAAAAAAAAAAAAAAAAAAACCACTATGAATTTACTCCTTAATAATTGATCACTGCTATGAAATTGTTATAAAAGCTGCTTCTTATTTACATAGTCCTTGAATTTTTTATGTATTTGACTGGCCCAGAACAATGTAAGAGAACAATTATATTACAAATTAAAGATTATAAAACAATACTTAAAAAATGATCTTTAAACTTTATTCACACTCTTTATCTGTTTCTCTTCTACCAAACTGTACCCAAATCTACTGCGTGAGCCATATGAAATTCACATGGCAGGTTATGCCCTGGATATCAACACTAGATCTCTTTCAAAAGATTTTCTTCTTACGTGGTACTTTTTTATCCCCCCAGCTTTGCCAGTGACATTAAGGGTTATTTCTTCTTCCTCCTCTAGAAATTTTTGACAATATTCCGAGTCTTTTTCCAAAACAAAGCCTGTTTCTTCTATTATATCTTCAAGATGAAAAACCTGCATAGAGTAAGGCAGATAAATGGGTGAACCCAAATTCATTTCAGAAATATAATAAAGAGAAAAAGGGGATTATCACCTTTTGAATGTTACCAAACTAGATTATGAAAACAATTTTTTTCAGTATTACTTGGAAATGAAGAATTTTGTTAATACAGGTGGGTTTGTCACTTAAGTCTCAGGACAAATTACATTATGGTGTATTTTTTAAATGTGAAAATGGATAAAAGAATAGACTTCAGCAGCTGAACTAAAAAGATAAGCATTAAAATCAGGCAGAAGGGGCTGGGGTTGTGGCTCAGCGGTAGAGTGCTCGCCTAGCACATGCAAGGCCCTGGGTTCGATCCTCAGCACCACAAAAAAATAAATAAATAACAATATTGTGTCCAAATCAGGCAGAAAAGAAGCTTCAAAGGCGACCCTAAGTTTGAGAATAGGTTTAAAAAAAAAAAAAAAAAGGAGTTCTTTAAAGCCAGGTAGCCACTCTCAATCTGGATATAATGGTTTTAATGTAGAACTAAGTTTATGTTCTGTAGCCCTTAGGTCAGTTGTCAGAACACTCCTTTCCATCCTGTCCTCTCTCAGGCAAGGCAGCACCAGCCATGTCATTCTCAAGGCTATCTCCAGGCCCTCTCTCGACTTGTAGAACCCAAGGAATAGTTTGGGGCTCAAACTACAAGGGACTATGTTCTGGGAAAACTCTACGGTACAAATGCAGCTTTTGCTTACACACATACTACAAGAAAAACTTACCTCAACAGGATAACTTCTTCCTGAAATTCTGAGAATAGGGCAGTGTGTGAAATACGTAGAGAACTTTTCACTGTCCACAGTGGCACTCATCAGAATCAAGTGTAGATCAGAACGTTTCTGTAAAATTTCCTTCAAGATAACTAATAGGAAATCTGATTGGACACTTCTTTCATGAACCTAATATAAAGATATACCAAAATTAATCATATATAAGGCCTAGTAAGAGGTTTAAACAAGTCCACTTGCCACACTGTAGGCTTCTACCCCAGGATATGGCTTGGAGATCAGACCACATTTGGCTGATAAGAGTAGGCTGTCTCTCAAACTTTAACTCTCTGCTATTAATATAAAACTCTACTATTACCATTACAGAAGACAGATGGTTTATCTACTATGTAGGAAAAATGGAGATAATCAGTAGCAATCTGACAGGTTCACTATTACCATCCACCAAAAAGAATTTTATGCCCTTCAGTGCATGCACTTTAGGGAAGATCACTGTGAATCTCCTATACAGCATAAACAAGATATATTCTAAGGATTTAACAAATATCTGCTAAATTTATACAAGTCTATCTTCTTTCTGTACTCTTATTTCTATCCCTTTTATAACAGACTGAAAGTAGCATACAAGATAAACTACATCAAGATAACAAAACTGTGTTCATTATTCACTGGCTTGGAAGGCAGGCAGTAGTGGTTAAGTGTTTGAGTTCTGGAATCAATTATTTGGGCTTAGTTCTTGGCTTAGTGATTTCAGTCAAGTTATTTAACTATCTCCAGGTCTATTTCTTTTTCTATAAAAGGAAAACACAAATTATGTAAACTTCATAGAGCTGTTGGGATAATCAAATGAGATTAAACAAAATCTTCAAAACAGAGCCCACCAAACAGTAAGTTCTCAGCATTTTGTTAGATGCTGAGCTTTGCAAAAAAAATCCAGACAGTTTTCTTTATTTAAGGATTTTTAGTCATTCGGGATATTGTATATGGTGGCCCAAAATCACATTGA